GGTGAGTGACCAAGCCTGTATTTGAGTTATCCTCACAGAGACAGACATTTGCAGGTACCGCTGTTCTATATTAGTTACCTGTTTCCCTTGCTAGGCTGCATCCCTAGCTCTCAGACTAGGGATAGTATACAAACGTTTGGAAAATTAATGCCTTGAAGATTCAAAACAGTCTATTCACTTCCAAGAGTAATTTCACTTGCTTTCTCACAATCCCTAGGTAAGATAATAGTTAACATTTAATCAGCACTCCCATGTGACACTTTTCAGTGGCTACGCTAAGCACCTGATATAGGTGTTATTATCTCTTATAAATCTCACCAACACTATTTTGCAAGGACTAATATCCCCATTTAATGGAAGAGGAAACTGAGGCTCAATGACTTGCCCAAGCTTCTGCCAACTAGTAAGTGGCAGAGCCAGGATTCTAGCTCAGGCTGTATGACCACAGAGTCCACATTTTTCTTTTGTTTTTTATGAGACTAAGTCTTGCTCTGTCACCCAGGCTCGAGTGCTGTGATGCGATCTGTCTTACTGCAACCTCTGCCTCTCGGGTTCAAGCAATTCTCCTGCCTCAGCCTCCCGAGTAGCTGGGATTACAGGCACACACCACCACGCCCAGCTAATTTTTGTACTTTTAGTAGTGACGGGGGTTTCACCATGTTGGCAAAGTTGGTCTCGAACTCCTGACCTCAAGTGATCGGCCCACCTTGGTCTCCCAAAGTGCTGGGCCTACAGGCGTGAGCCACCGCGCCCGGCCAGAGTCCACATTTTTGACGACGAGGCCACACTGTCAGTTCCACAGATGGGGAAACTGAGGCCCGGGGCAGGGCACTACATTGTGCCGGCGGAATCGTGGCCAGTGAGGGAAGCACGGGCTGCACGCCGATTCTTCCTCCTTGGTCAGGGAAGTCACTGAGGTGCAGGAGGCGGAGGGCGACAAGTGGAAGCCCCTCCCCATTATTAAGGATGGAGAGCGGCGCGGTAATTGGGATCTAACCCACGAGGAGGAAACACTAGGGAAACGGCGCAAACGGAAAACCGGAAGTGCGTCACCCAACGGACGGGCGAATCGGCTGCAGGCCACCAACGGGAACGCCGCGTTCGCGTTCGCCCCGCCCCAAAGGAAGAAGAGTCCGCCTTGCGACTGTATCCGTTAGCGCAGCGCGGGTTGCGGTTGGTCACCCTGGTGGGTAACGCGGCGCGCTAGGGGGTAGAGGGGAAAGAAGAGGGACTTCCAGGAAGGCAAGGGGAGGACGGAAGGTGGGGTGGGCGAGACAGGCAGTGGGGTCTGGCCCCGTGGTCGGTCCCCGTGGGCTGTGGAACTCGGGGACGGGGGTCTGGGGGCTCCCCCTTCTTGATGGGGAAACTGAGGCCCAGAGAGGGGCCGCAGAAGGCAGCGGACTGGGATCTCCTCCCACAACACACACAAAGACATCTAAAAATCGTACTATTTAGTGAAAAATGTTTTTAATCGTAATTACGATTTAACAGGTAAGGATACTTTTCATCGTAATAGGTGGAAAAGCAAAATATAAAATTCGATTCAAACTGTGATTACATCTATGGAAAACACAGCCTTCGCCGACCACCCTGTCTGTCCCGCCGCCCTCCGTGCTCCCCTCTGTTTTTGTGTACGGAGTTTCTCACTTTGTACAAGTCCGCAGCCGCTTGTGTTACAGCCCCGAGGCCAGATGCGTTTAAAATCGAGGATTTCTCGGACTTTGGAAAGGTAAAGTGCGTATGTTCTATGTTAGGTTTCACCCTCAGTGGGGGCTGGAGCAGCGGCTTGCAATCAAATACACGACCCTTTCCACAGCTAAAGATATGAAGATATGCATATATTATATTGACCGGGTCGCGGTGGCTCACGCCTGTAATCCCAGCACTTTGGGAGGCTGAGGCGGGCGAATCACCTGAAGTCCGGAGTTCCAGACCAGCCTGGCTAACATGGTGAAACCCCGCCTGTACTAAAAATACAAAAAATTAGCCGGGTGTGGTGGCGCGTGCCTGTACTACCAGCTACTCGGGAGGCTGAGGCGGGAGGCTGAGGCAGGAGAATCACTTGAACGAGGGAGGCGAAGGTTGTAGTGAGTCAGGATCGCGCCACTTCACTCCAGTTGGGGCAACAAGAGCGAAACTCCGTCTGAAAAAAAAAAAAAGATATGCATATATTTACACTGTTGGGATAAATAACCATAGATAGCCTCACCTTAAGTCAGGTCAAGTTCTCCAACGTAAGAAACAAGTTTTGGTATTCAGACTTTTTTTTTCCCCTGCATCCGATCATCCACTAGTATTCATACCTTTTTAGATTTGAGGGTTGCAGATGAGGGACCTGGATTGTAGCTGCCCTGTTCACTCACTTTTCTCACTCTCGCTGGATAAGAGAGTGTCTTTGAGAACAGGAACCGTGCTGTTGTATGGTCACGTCTCTCTCTGCCACCAACTCTTGTGTGTCACCTTGTGCCCTTTTAGTCTCAGTTTCCTCATCTGTAAGATGGGGTCAGTGATCCTTTGCTCATAAGGTTCTGGTTAGGGTTAAATGATGTCGTGCATGTGAAGCACAAGAATTGTGTTAGCACCTGCACGAATGGTATGACTGAGATTTACTTATTCCACAAACATTTATATTTCAAAATTATTAAATTTAAATAAATTTATTTATTATTAAATGAATTAAATGCATGAATTAATTAAAAGTATAGATGTATTTCTTAAAATGTGGGTGATAGGAATTTTAAAGATTTATATAATGCTTCAAAGCCTTAGAAAAGGTTTTCTTTAGTTGGTTTATCTGTATATCTGAACTCTTGAAACTTAAAGCTAAAATACTAGGATTTATCTGCAGGGTTGCAGAGAGATAATTCTGCCTTAAATTGTCTAAAACAAAAACAAAACAAGACAATATGTTATACATGGGATTAAAACCAATTTTTCTCCCATTTTTTCTCCTTTTTTCTTTTGCTGCCCACATTGTGCCTTTGTTTTATGAGCCCCAGTTTTCTGGGCTTAGTTTAAAAAAAAAATTCAATTCTAAACGTTGAATTTAGGGAGTTTTTGTTCTTAAATAAAAAGGCATAGACTTAAAAAAAATAAATGTTTATCCGGGAAAATATATTGAAATCATGCTGCTGAGCCTCTATTTTCTTTGATGTTTTGGTTCGGTATTCTTTTATCATAAATTCTTAGCATTTAAACATTTACTGATGTACATTTAAAGCCAATAAACTGTTTTAATTAATACAAATATATATATATATATTTTTTTGTGATGGAGTCTCACCCTGTCACCCAGGCTGGAGTGCAGTGGCACGATCTTGGCTCACTGCAACCTCCAGCTCCTGGGTTCAAGCGATTCTCCTGCCTCAACCTCCTGAGCAGCTGGGATTACAGGCGTGCACCACCATGCCTGGCTAATTTTTGTATAAAATAGAATTATTTAAGTAGGTGATACATGTATGTCTATGGCTAATCCCACCATTCTCTCCACAGTCTCTTCTCATAGAGACAAGGGATACAATATGCATAAACAAACTTATGGTTGTCTTTCTTCCACTCCTACTTTCCCGCCCCTTTTCCACCAAATCATAGCATTCAATCGTATCTTGTTCTCATTCTCATTTACATTTATTTTGGCTGTTATTTAACATATTCACGTTACTTTTTTTTGTGTGTGTGGAGAGTGGATCTTGCTATGTTGCCTAGGCTGGTCCTAAAGTCCTGGTCTCAAGCAGTCCCCCCGCCTTGACCTCCCAAAGTATTGAGATTACAGGTGTGAATCACCATGCCCGGCCCATCACATTTAAAAACATTGTATGTAACATACCTATACAATTGTGTGGAAGTATAAGTTTGAAGGACAAAAATGAAATGAACGCTCATGTACCTGCCACCAAGTTAAGAAATAGACATTTTCAGATCCCCAAACCCCCCACTGAATCCTTTCTTCCCTCCTCAAAGATAACTACCACTCTGAATATTGTGTTACTTGTTCCTTTGTTTTGCTTTGTAGTTTTTGCGATGTATGTTCGTATCTCTAATGAATATAATGTATGCTTTTGCTGAGTTCGATTTTATATGATAGGATCCTAAAATACATTTTGTGTGACTTGCTTCTTACACTTAACGTTATCTTTTTGAGAAGCATGTGTGTTGATGTGAGGAGCTCTACTTTATCTTCGTTGCTGATTTGAATTCTGTGAGATAATTATATTGTTTTAATGTAGTTCTTCAGTTGGTAGGCATTTATACTGTTGCCAGACTTTTGTTATTACACGGTGCTTCTGTAAAAACATATTTCCTAGCGCAAAAGTGGAAGTTTCTGTAAGGTATATACCTAATAGATTTCTGGGGATATGCAAATTTGCTAGTAATATCAACTGTTACCTGAAATGGTTACAGTAATTTATACTCAGCCTGGTGTGGTGGCTCACACCTGTAATCCCAGCACTTTGGTAGGCCAAGTTGGGTGGATCACTTGAGTCCAGTAGTATGAGACCAGCTGGGGCACCAGGTGAGACCCCATCTCTACAAAAAATACAAAAATTAGCTGGGCATGGTGGTGTGTGCCTGTAGTCACAGCTTCTAGGGGGGTCTGAGATCAGAGGATCGATTGAGCCCACAAGGTCAAGGCTGCGGTGAGCTATGACTGTGTCATTTCATTCCAGTCTGGGCAACAGAATGAGACCCTGTCTCAAAGAAAAAAAAAAAGAATTTATACTCTTCCTGCAACAGATGAAAAACAGATGAAAGTTTCAGCCTCAGCCTCAGACATTCTTTTAAAATTTTTGCCTATCTGGTGTTGGCTAAGACATTCCTTCACTGTGGTTTTAATAATCATTTATCTGATAACATTGAGATTGAGCATCTTTTTTCTGTATTTATTCATCATTTATGCATCCTCTTTTTGTAAAATTTCTGTTGCCCATTCCTCTTTCACAGTTGTCTTTCCCATGCTGATTTGTAGGAATTCCTTATATAGTCTGAATATGAATCTTTTGTATTATGTAGCTTATGTTTGTTTTAAATACCCTCCAGTTGTATCCCCTAACCCCCACCTTTCTGGTATTTTTGGTGAATACAGGCCCTTAACTTTAACAAAAGTCACATTTATCAGTATATTCCTGTATCACCTGTAATTTTTGTATCTCTTAAAGAAATCTTTCCCTACCCTCAGGTGATAAATATATTCTGTATATTGTCTAAAAGTCTTATAGTATTTTTCCTTATTATGACCTTATCCCTTCAGAATTGATGTTTGTGTATAGTGTGAGGTAAGAATCAAATTTTATTCATTTTTTTCACATATGGATAACAAGTTTTCCTGGCACCTTTTATTGGAAAGTTTGCTTCCCTCCACCATCAAGTATCCATGTACATGTACCTTTCCGTTTCTGAGTTCTCTGTTCTGTTCCATTGATTGGTCTTATTTGTCTGTCTCTGTACCATTACCACACTTGACTCGTTACTCTAGCTTTATAAGAAGTGCTTTTTTTTTGTTTTGGTGTGTTTTTAGACAGGGTCTCACTCTGTCACCCTGGCTGGAGTGCAGTGGTACAATCATGACTCACTGTAGCCTCGACATCTCGAGCTGAAGCAGTCCTCCCACCTCAGTATCACAGGTACCTGGGACTACAGGCATGTACCATCATGCCCAGCAAATGTTTTTTTAATTTTTATTTTTAGTAGAGACAGGGTTTCACCATATTGCCCAGACTGGTGTTGAACTCTGGACTCATGCAGTCTGCCCACGTCAGCCTCCCAATGTGTTGGGATTACAGGCATGAGCCACTGCGCCCAGCCAATATGAGAAGTCTTTATAGCTGGTAGGACAAGTCCTCCTGCCTTTATCTTCTCCCAGGAATGTCTTTGCTGTTTTGCCTTTGTGTTTTCTATGTAAATTTTTAGAATCATCTTGTCAAATCACACACACACGTACACAAAGCCTGTTGGGATTTTGGTTGCAATTGCATTGATTCAATTGCATTGGGTCAATTTAGTTTTTAAAGTGATTGCTGTCAACATTTCATTTTTCCCTATGATGTTTGCTGCAGGTTTTTT